TGAGATGTTGCAGAACATGAAATAAAAAAAATCCACTTTTGCCCAGACTTTACTTTCTGATCCACTTGGTGAAGGAACACGGGGATAAGGTTGGGTCTGAGCATTTTCTCAAGGCTGAGCGTTAACCTGAAGCATTTCAGCTCCTATAGGCAACTTACCCCAAGCCAAAAGTTGTATGAGTAGTGTTAGGAATCTTCTGAAGACCGTAGCTATATTTTAACCTGTGTTATCTGTGAGCGTGGCAGATTCAAGCCAACCCCTGGTAGTTTTCCCATTTGGCCTTGGGTTTTGATCATTTGCCTCTTAGGAAGGAGGCTAACGAGGATCTTTGTTGCAGTGATTCGGAGGGAGACTAGATTAGATGAATTGGTGCCGGACTCCCCTTTTATTTGTCCCTGTTCTTGGAGTGGTTTGGGTGAGCTCAGAATAGCCAGCTCTTCCGAATAGGGTGAGGAGCAGGGCAAAGCCACTGTTAACCTTTGAGATGTCTGATGCAGAAGGACAGGATGGGGCAATGACTGTTGGCGCCTGTGTCCTGAAAAGGGAGGACCCTGGACCCGGGTGAGTGAGGTGTGGCAGTCAATGTTTGTGGTTCAGACTGCTGTGTGCCTTTGTGTCTACATGTCTGCCCTTCGTTTACCCCAGTCTGCCTGGAAAGACCTTTGGGATCAGTGTTGCTGCCCGGGTGCCCTTCCTGCCTGACTTGACCAGGCAGGAGGAGCTCACTGGCTCATCAACCCTTGGACCTTGGCAGAGAAATAACACTTTATAATCCAAGTGCTTCACAGAGGTGAGTGGATGAGACCCTCTCCCTTGCCATCTGCTACTTACCATCCCATGTCTTGGCAGTTGGGCACAACTAACCTCTGTTGATGCCAGTTCCTGTGGCTCTATCCACTCTGATCTTGTCAAGTTTGTCTCTTAAAAGCTTCAAATCTTGGGGGGATTCCCTCTCTCCACATCAATGCTTGTTCTGTGTGCAGATGCTTGTGTTATTAGATGTTTCTGGAACAGCTTTGTCTCATGGTGTCATGTTTGACTCCATGACCTGGAGACCAGAAATAGTGTAACTGAGACCCTGAACTTAGCCTTTCCCTCTCCCTGTGTTCTTCCTTATCGCCTCACACTTTCAAAATTTCTTTCCTTTTTTGATCTTTTTGAGACAGGGTCTCCCTGTAGCCCCAGCTGGCCTGGATTCACTATGGAGACCAGGCTGGCCTCGAGCTCACAGAGATCAGCCTGCCTCTGCCTCTGCCTCTGCCTCTGCCACACCCAGCTCTCAAAATTTCTTAGCTAATTTTTATTGTTGTGGGGTTTGGGGGTGGATGATGGCTGCACATGCATGACTCACGTCTGAAGGAGAATTTGCAGAGACTACCATGTGGTCTCTGGTGATCAAACTCTGGGCATCAGGGTTGGTAGCCAGCACCTTTACCTACTGGGCCATCTCACCAACCCTAAATATTTTTAAATGGTGAGATCTGTTGTGTTGTTAAAATGTGGCCTTTGGGGTCTGGTAACCCGGACACAGAAAGCCATTCATGATCATGAGTCGCTGGTCTAGAAGTGTTTATCTACTTTGTTCATTTGTGATGAGGGTGTCAGCTTCTTCTGGAGACCAAGTGCTCCTTGCTCAGTGGCGTTCCCCAGTACCATACAGACAATCTTCTTCTTGGCTCAACCTCCCCCTTTTCCTTGAAGGGAAGATTTTATGCATTAAGGAAAATGAAGAAGGGAGGAGAAAACACCTTAACAGAATTTTAGGCAGATTCAGCATTTTTCTGGTATTGCTCCAAAAATTCCCTCAGCTGTAATAAAAAATTGTGAGCAGGCATCTGATTAGTGAGCTTTTTACAACACAGGTTTTCTTTTGGATGCTTTAAAATGAACACATACAGTTTTAAAACAAGCCCCTGTACAGTTTTCTGGGGAGGGGGAGAAGTTGAAAACACCGGAAAAGGTTATAAAGCCGAGGGAAATGAACAAGGGATGCTGAGTTTTGCTTTGAGAGCTTCAGCTTGGAGAAGAGGCCACAGTTGGCCTTGTTCCTATGGTGATTTCTCGGGCCCTGTCCATGTGTCCTGGGAAACCCCAGGAGCGAAATACATACTTCAACCTTTATGGGGAGATTTTTGTGGGTTGTGTGCCCAATTCAGGGAACTGTTCCTAAGAAAACGATGCTGGGCTATTCCCAGAAATGAGCCCAACTAGCAGAGTATTAAGAGCAGAGTACTGCCATTGTGTGGTGCTGTGCTGGGTCCTCACAAGGTGTGGGGTCAGAATCGAGGTGTGTGCTCATGGGCCTTCAATATGGCTGAGAGTTTGCTAGAGAGCCTTTTTGTGCTCAAAAATAGCCTGGGCAGAAATGAGGGGGATAGAACTGCCCTGTCTGGGGCTGGAGGCTGGGAGGAGCAGCAGGGGTCTCCCTGCAGGCACCAAGCCAACTTTCAGGGGACACCCACACACTGCCCTGTCGTTTATCTGGGCTGGGCCATTAACCTCAACAGAAAAAGGCTTTTTCCTTGGGATGTCTGGAAGCAAACTGTCGGGTAGACTGGCTGTGCAGATGAAAGAGAAACCTAGGCATGCTCTCCCCTCCTCTTTCCTTCTCCTCCATCAGGCCTCTGGCCTCAGCCTCAACCAGCTTGCTCTGTCCCTGATGCCTTTGCCAGGCAGACAGGGCCCCGCCCCTTGCTGAGGAGGCCAGCAGGCCTCGCATGGGGGCAACTTGATCCTAGGCTCCTCCTCCTCCTCTTCTTCCTTCTCCCTCCTCCTTCCTTCATTCCCTCCCCCCATCCTTGCTATCCGGTGCCAGGTTTCATGGGGCTGGGCTGCACAAAACAAAGCATTGTGAGGCCCCTTTGAGGGTCTCCCCAGCCTCTTCCCTCTTCCCAGACACTCCCTGAGTCTTTCCCTGGACAGGTTTGTGGTCTGGAGTTGGGTCACTTCAGGAGTACACTTGGGCCAGGAGTGTCTTACTTCCAATGATAGTATGCATAGTTGGTGTGGCCTTCAGAGCTGAGCTCCCTCAGCAAGAAGGTTCAAAGATTGCCTGTGCTCAGGAGTTTATTAGCAGTTGATGGATACTTTGCAGAAACAAGTTAATGCCTGATGAGTCACCTTCTGCTCAGAACCGTTGTCCCTCTTGTTTTTCATATGTTTGTGTGTGTGTGTGTGTGTGTGTGTGTAGCGTGCATACAAACACTGTCACATGTACAACACGCCTTTACGCTCGGGACACCTGTAGTCTCACACATACTTGGACTTTATAGATTCATGGTAGTGGGGATAGGGGACAGTGCAGGTTGGTTTGTGAGGTTCATTTTCAGTGGGGATTCAAGGAAAGAATGAGCCCTTGGCGTCCCCTTTGTGTGTAGTTGCCTGATCAAGGATAGACTGGGGAGGTCAGTTGCAAGTGGTGGGGAGTGTCCTTTGTACAAAATAGCAGCTCAGGGTTTGTGTGTGTGTGGCTGCCTTTGTGGGTAGCAAACTTATGATGAAAAAAAAAGCAATGGAGCTGACTGGTTCCCAGGTCCTAACATGCCTATAAAAGTTGGAATGGATTGATGTACCAGGCTGCCCTGGGTTACCCACAAGGCTGAGTCCTCCTCCTCCTGCCCCTGCATGGGGACAGCCCTCATCACTCTCTGAAACAACAAAGGCCACAAGAAAACACCTCCCACACAAAGCCCCACCTTCAGGGCTCTGCCAGGGCTGGAGAGAGGCAGGAGGTCTCTAACTCTGGACCTGACCCCCACCTCATCTTTCTCCCTTGCTTCCCCCATTTTTGTTAACAAATACAAGACTTCCGGTCTCCACCCTACTGCCACAAACCACAGCGTTCCTGAGGCCTGTTCTGCTGGTTAGAGCTTAAGGAGGTAGTAGGATGCCAGTGCAAGGGGGAGGAGAGGAAGGGGCTTTTCTCTACGTGATCCCTCTTTTTTTTTTTTTTTTTTTTTTTTTTTTTTTTTGTCTTTTTTAAGACAGGGTCTCCTTGTAGCCCCAGCTGTCCTGGAACTCACTATGTAGACCAGGCTGGCCCTGAACTCACAAAGATCCACCTGCCTCTGCCTCTCAAGTGCTGGGATTAAAGGCGTGGTGGCCCTGATTCCTCTTTTTAAAGTCCTCAGAGCTCCTGCTTAGGAAAATCACCTCTTCATTATCACCCCAGGGTGGTAGGGGAAAAGCCGAGTGACTGGACATGCTAGAGAGGGGGAGGGGGGAGACAGACTGGAGCAGGGTGCCGGAGGAATACATGGTCTGCACAGGGTGAAACTGGAGAGGCGAGCAGGCACCTCTCGGCTGCTGGCAGAGAAGGAACATATGAAGGATGGTCACATCCATTTTAGACATGGCATCTTTTGACTTTTATGTACAGACTGCTGCTGTGTCACACAGTTGATTTTTGTCAGGGAGATAGATGGGTTTTGTTGTTTTGTTTTGTTGCCTTCAAACCATCCTCATCTTAATTTTTACCAGCTATAGCTCCCTTATGAGCAAGACTCTGATCTGAGAACTGGGTGACTAGCACAAGGGCTGCAGAGTGTGTGGGCCAACTGGCTTCTTAGTCTGACTGGGTCACTACCCAGGAGTAGGCCAGCTTTCTCATTTGGATGACAAGGGGCTGGAGGAGCTGGCCTGCAAGGCATTATCCAGCTGAAATATCTATAATTCTAGGTCATTCCTGGGGCCTTGTCCAGCTCAAAACAGTTAGACCAAGTTACCAAGGGTCCCAGCCTCTGCTCCTCAGGGATAAATAAGCATTGGCACTGGTGGTGTGATTCCTGACCAGATGGGAGTGAGAGAACATATACTTAAAGGTGGATTAGGATGTCCTTTCCCCAGTAGGAGTTCCGTGGACCCTAGTCCAGACTCACCATCACTCCCTCTTTTTGGTTCTGGGGACTCACATGAGCCTGTGTGCACATATATGTGTATATATGTTTTGTTGGAATCCAATCCCCACCATCACCACCTATGTCTGCCATTTTGTTTTGTAGATTCCCAACTTCTTCTGGAGCCTGGGGATCGGTCACACTGGTGCGTGGTGGCATACTGGGAGGAAAAGACGCGCGTGGGGAGGCTCTACTGTGTCCAGGAGCCCTCCCTGGACATCTTCTATGATCTACCTCAGGGGAATGGCTTTTGCCTCGGACAGCTCAATTCAGACAACAAGAGTCAGCTGGTGCAGAAAGTTCGGAGCAAAATCGGCTGTGGCATCCAGCTGACTCGGGAAGTGGATGGCGTGTGGGTATACAACCGCAGCAGTTACCCCATCTTCATCAAGTCCGCCACACTGGACAACCCGGACTCCAGGACGCTGTTGGTGCACAAGGTGTTCCCCGGTTTCTCCATCAAGGCTTTCGACTATGAGAAGGCATACAGCCTGCAGAGGCCCAACGACCACGAGTTCATGCAGCAGCCATGGACGGGCTTCACTGTGCAGATCAGCTTCGTGAAGGGCTGGGGCCAGTGCTACACCCGCCAGTTCATCAGCAGCTGCCCATGCTGGCTGGAGGTCATCTTCAACAGCCGGTAGCTGTGTGGGGACAGCCCGGAGTGTAGGGAGAGGACAGGACGGAGCGTGAGCCGAGCAGGCCACCATTCAAACTACTTTGCTGCTAATCTTTCCCTCCTGAGTGCTTGCTTTTCATGCAAACTCTTTGGTCGGTTTTTTTTGTTGCTGTTGTTGGGTTTTTTTTGTTGTTGTTGTTTTTTTTTTTTTTTTTCTTTGTTCTTATTTGTGTTCTGTTTTGTTTTGTTCTTTGAGAAATAGCTTATGAAATGAATTGTTGGTGGGGAGGTTTGAAGGGGGTGGGCGTGGTTGGCAGGACACCCAAATAGGAAAGGGGGAAGCAAAAGTCATCACTGCCAAACACAGTGTATGAAAGGGGCACAGCGCCTTCCCTTAGGATCAGCACTTCTACCTGTCAGGAATGGATGTGTGAGTGTGTGTCTGAGTGCGCACATGTGTGCATGAACAACTGATGAGGAAATGACATGCTTTTTGTGTTCCTCCTGGATGTTCCCCAGCTGAGAGGCTTGTGGTTCCAAGCTGTGTGTCTCCCGCACCCTTTGGACATGCTCATTGGGGCAGAAGGCAGTACCTGAGTGGGTGTTCCAGCAGCTGCCAAGGTCTGCCTCAGTCTGCCGAAGCCCCTGCCTGCCCTCCCCCTTTTAGGACACAGGCCTATCTATAGGCTTCTGAGAAGCCAGCCTGCTAGAGGCTGAACCAGAACCAATTGTTTTCATGTCTCCCTCCTGCCACCCCACTGCCATTGTCCTCTCTCTCTCTCTCTCTCTCTCTCTCTCTCTCTCTCTCTCTCTCTCTCTGCCATCTGCTCCTGGATCTCTCTGAGATGGGCTTCCCGAGGGCTGCCGGGGCAACCCAGTCACAGTATTGCTTACTCAGTGTCCTGTCAGGCCCTTCAACCTGTCCCCTGCCTTGGTTTCATCAAGTTTCTCCCAGACATGGAAAGTCAGCTCAGCACCCTGCCCCCCAGCCTGTGTGCTGAGCTCTGTAGACCAGCCAGGGGCATCCCCGGGAGGGACCTGCTCAGTGGCCCTCCTTCTTACCAAGAAGGGTGTGGTTCATCATAAAGAAGGTACCATCCTAGGCTGACACCCAGCTCTTCTCTCAACTCATACACTCGTATGATACTTTGACACTGTTCTTAGCTCAATGAGCATGTTTAGACTTTAACATAAGCTATTTTTCTAACTACAAAGGTTTAAATGAACAAGAGAAGCATTCTCATTGGAAATTTAGCATTGTAGTGCTTTGAGAGAGAAAGGACTCCTTAAAAAAATTTATTAAAGAAAATGTATTTTATGTTATATATAAATATATTATTACTTGTAAATATAAAGACGTTTTATAAGCATCATTATTTATGTATTGTGCAATGTGTATAAACAAAATAAAGAAAAGATGCACTTTGCTTTAATATAAATGCAAATAACAAATGCCAAATTAAAAAAGATAAACACGAGATTGGTGTTTTTTTCTATGGGTGTTATCACCTAGCTGAATGTTTTTCTAAAGGAGTTTATGTTCCATTAAACAATTTTTAAAATGTATACTTCATTCCATGTTCTTCAACTGCTTTTTCTTTTGCTTGGAGGGGGGCCGGGAGGAGGTTTATCAATGGGGACAAAGTGGGATGGACCACTAAATGAAACCCTTCATGTCATCGTTGTCACCAGATCTGGAGACACCTACAGATCCCTTTGTTAAGTGTGGCCCTAGTGTGCCACATTTGTACTGGGAGGAGGGAGCCTGGTGGAAGTTGGTGGAACTGAGGAAGGGGCCTGGGGCAGATGGCAAATTCATCCGCTGTTTCTTGCTGACTCCTCACTGGCCTTAAATAGTGAGCCTAGCGTATCTTTCCTGAGGAGGGGACTTTGCCAAACTGAATTCCTAGAGGTGCCCTGGGGACTGCAACCAAGGGGTGGTGCAGGTTAAGTGTGCCATGGTCAAAGGGATGAGGCCACCCCCGAGTTCCTTCTAAGTAAAGTCTTAGAGTCTCTGAGTCTGAGTTTCACTCTAGCTCTTCCCTGTCTGCTGGACTTTTTTTTTTTTTTTTTTTTTTTTTTTTTTTTTTTTTTGTCTTTTTGAGCTGTAGTCCTGGAACTCACTATGTAGACCAGGCTGGCCTCGAACTCACAAAGATCCACCGGCCTCTGCCTCCCAAGTGCTGGGATTAAAGGTATGCGCCACCACGCCCGGCTTCTGCTGGACTTTAGTGACTGACAGGTACTGGTCCAGCTCATCCTTAGGGCCTTTACTGTGAGCTGCTTCAGTACTTACCTGCATCAGCTGATCTGGGATTTTTTTTTTTTTTTTTCAGTAGAGATGACATCAAACTGTGTGGTACAATGTCTATGTCAGGGGTCTTGAACTTTAGATCTAGGAAGGGGGTCCCTTTGAAGTTGGGGTGTGTGTGAGAATTTCAGCTATCACAAATCTACAATTTCAGGATCCTGTTTTGGTGGTCAGTGTTTTTAGTGTGGTGCCATGTGACAGAATACCACCGCCTACTGGCACCACCATTTCATTAAGGACTATAGTATAACCAAGGAGCAAGAAATAGCAATACATGGAACATTAGTGCCACTTACTGGGGCTAGCTTGTTCATGTGGGGTGACGAGGGGCTTACTACTCCAAGCAGCTTTCTTAATTTTCAGTCAGTTGAACTGAAACCATCCTCCATTTATTCCAATTAACCCATCATAAACATAAAACCCCACCTCTAGAGAACACCCAAGGAGGGATCTAATTAACTCGGGGTGGCAGTGGTGGAGGATGAGTGTGGCTGGAAGGTGCATTAGGGAGTTGTCAATGTCGTTTCAGTTTTCACTAACTTGCATCAGCACGCCAGGGAGCTCCTCAGTAATAACAGTCATTTTTTTATACTGAATGCTTCACTGGGTGCCAGGCATGCTGCTAATCGTTGAGGGTAATTGCCATTTAATCTTTCCCAGGACCCTCTGCAAAAATGGAAGGGTGGCTAAAGGACTTGCCCAAGGTCATGTATCAAGGAAGTCCACTGGGAAGAGGATCAGGATCCCACTCTACTGAGATGTCTATGTGCTGGAGTCCTGTGTGCCAACATACTTCCTCTGGCCTTGCTGTTGGAGCGAGGCCGGTGGATTTGGAAGGCAGAAACTGGGTTCTAGGATGAGGGTGGCATTAGGTGTGGGGTATGGATTCTGGTGAATTGGCGACTCTAGGTGGGTGGGTAGTAGGCCAAGAAGAATGCTTAGGAGACATCTGGCATTAGGTGGAAGTGGATACTTGCTACAGAGGATCCACCATCCACTTATCTGGGTGCCCTGGATGTGCCCAGGCTATGCTGTTGGCAACTACCCCAGATGTCAGTGTCTTGTCTTCTAGCTTGAGGGCAAGGTCAGACTCAGGGTCGGGGGAAGCCTTCCTGTAGCCCGAGAATAAGAATACTGAAGATCAGGGACCTTGCTAGGCACCGTTCTAATGCTTTACTTGAGGATTGCCCTAGACAACCCCTACTACCAGCCTCCTTATAGGTGCACACCATTACTGCTAGTGTACAGAAGAGGAAACATGTTCAAATGGTTTTCTGAGGTTCCTCAGCTGGGAAGTGTTCAGGTCTGATTTCATCACTTGTTTACTATCTAATCACTGGGTAGGGCAGGGTCAAGGTGAACAAGGCAGGTGTTATGTTTTCTGAAATAAGTTCGGGTTTGAAAGGATAGAGCCCAGGGTTGAGCCCAGTGCCCAGTATTTGCAATGTTTGTTCACACCGAGGACTCTCCCGGGATCATGCCACCATGTCTCCACACTGCAGAGGATGCTGCCAGGCTTTCCTGACCCAAGTTGAGCCTGTCCTCCAGGAAGTGAATGATTTGCCAAGGCTGTAGCCAAGGCTGATTTGCACCCAGGCCACAGCACTGAGCGAGAGGAGCTTCTTGTTGATCTGTATGTTCTCAGTGCAACAGTACGAAGGAAGGAAGCACAACTCCATGGATATCACAGGTGCATTGGACAAGTGGGGATATGGGATCTGAAAAGAAATATATGACTCACAGTTGTGGGTCTGGGAATCAGGCAGAGCTGGGTGTAAGACTTAGGCCAGTTCCCTACCATCTCTGACCTTCAGTTTCTGAAACATAAAATGGGCATTCTACCCACCTCATGGGGCTAAATGGAGATTAATGAGAAAACACGTGGAAAACTGGCCGTTGGATAATGAGGTTGAGCCACCTTGTGGGATTCCTCATTTTGACCTACAGGTATGGCAGTTTCATCCAGTTAAACCAATTAAATGCTCGGTTCAAGGGAGCAGAGATCAGGGGACCCCAACCACCCTAAAGCTGCAGGCAGGACTGACAGTGCCCTCGGGATGGTATGCAGAGGAGGCTGACAGAGGTCGGGGACAGTCAATACTGGGATGACCCCTTCTATTCAGGATGCCATCAAACTGCTGCACGTAGGCCAGGCAGGAAGCAAGGCCAGCAGGAGCCATGGCTGGTAAGCCAGGGTGGCCTGTCTTCAGGGAGGGAGTATAGACGCAGGTTGTGCTGTCCACAGCCTGCACAGTCCCACAGTCCCAGTTTCCTGGCGCTGGAGCAGCAGGCCCAAGCTGCCAGCTCAGCACTTTTCCCTCAGCCAGAAGTGCCCCCCTCTTTTTCTGAAAGTAATGATTTTCTAAAAATGGATTCCCTCCCCTCCCCCAGCTGCAATTAATCTACTGAACACAAAGTGGCCGCTGGAGGAGGCCCCTGGTGAGTTGGGACCAGTGCAAGCTCTTTGATTAATTCAGGGATGGTTTACTGATGGGGACTGGTGGGGGGAGGGGGGGTGCACTGCTTTTGTGGGGCCAGGCTGGGCCCACTTTAGGGTCTATATAGTGGTTGTCAGAGCCACAAAGACCTCAGAGAGCCATGAACCTTTTTCTACTGAGTCCATACCAACTGTTCTAGAGGCTTGCGAGCCAGGCGCAGACCCCAGCTCTTAGGCCGTCTCATGGATACCAGAGGCTGAGGCTAGATCTAGGGCTTCTATTTTCGTAGAAGCTTAGGCGGAATAGATACCAGACTCTTGGAGGATGCTTCCTTGTTTCTGAGTGTTACAGTAAATGGCGGCCCCAGGCCTGGCAGTTTCTCTTCTTCTGTGGGGACTTTGGTGGAAACTATGGGTAGAGCTCTGGTCCTGGTGAGCACAATGATTGACACTGTCACTAGTGTCCCAGCACCTCTCCTGTCCTGTTCTACTAGATTTTTCCTCACAGTACTGGCATCGTGTGTGTTCTGTATACATTTGTCATTTTATTATTTATGGTTTGACTGCTGTCACACTCCCCTGGTAGTATAAGCTCAATGACAGCAGGGACTTTGCTCCAGTTTCTGCTGCATCCCTTGTATCTAGAATGGTATCCAGCACATAGTGGACACTGCTGATACTCTTTGGATGAATCCATGTTCAGCTACTACTTAATTTTCTAGAAAAAAAAAAAAAGAAAAAGAAAAGCATTCACATTCCAGTCAAAGTCCATTTTCCCCAAGAAAAGTGGGTCTCTACTTACTTTAAGAAACTTAATGATGCCGGGCGTGGTGGTACATGCCTTTAACCCTAGCACTTGGGAGGCAGAGGCAGGTGGATCTTTGTGAGGCCAGCCTGGTCTACATAGTGAATCCCAGGACAGCTGGGGCAACAGGGAGACCCTGTCTCAAAAAAAAAAAAAAAAAAAAAATTTAGTGATGCTGGGTGTGGTGGCATACACCTTAATCCCAGCACTTGAGAGGCAGAGTTCAAGGCCAGCCTGGTCTACATCATAGTGAGTTCCAGGCTAGCTGGGGCTCCAGGAAGACCCTGTCTCAAAAAGACCAAAAAAGAAAGAATGAAAACAAAAGAGCCCATTCTTGTTATTTTCTTCCCAAAAGGTGAATGCAAGGTATACACAGTGAGACCCTGGGGGCTAGTGAGATGGCCCAGCAGATAAAAGTGCTTGTCCTGCAAGCCTGATGGTCTGAGTTTGATCCTAGGAACCCATGCAAAGGTGGAAGCAGAGAATTGACTCCTGAAAATTGTCCTCTGATTTCCACACAAGAGCTGTGGCTTATGTATACTCACACACATGTATAACACACACACATATCCTCACACAGTAATAATAAAACTTTAAAAAAAAAAAAAGACAGCAACTTGTATTTACAAAGGACTGTGTGTGGGAGACATCCTTTGCAAGTTATGTTGTGTTGTCTTTAAGGGACTGCTATTCCTAACCCATTTTACAGGTGAGGACATGGAGGCTCATGGTGTACCCACAGGAAGAGAGTGGCAGAGCTGGAGCCCAGATCTGGTGCATTCCAAGCTTTGCTGTGGGCCTTGAAGCCCCAGCAGATACTGGAGTTGCCAGCAGCCATGGAAGAGGAGTAGCACTCTCTTTGTCTCTGTCTCTGTCTCTCTCTCTCTCACACTCTGTGTGTGTGTGTGTGTGTGTGTGTGTGTGTGTGTGTGTGTGTTGCTCTGTGCTCTATGGCCAGACTGTCCTGTCCCATCCCATAAGGGGCTGTAATCTTTGCTTCACACAGGCGTTGTATCATAA